TCTTTATTACGTATCTGGGTTTTTTTTACTGCAAGCAACCCAGAGCATCCTTTGGGAGGGTGGCGTATCTAATTAATCATTTAATTAATTAATCAATACCCTCCTCAGGCAGAATGGAGCTTCCTACAATCAAGGTAAAGGCTACCTGCTGCAAACAGCTTTCTTCGGGTGTCCCTTTGGAATCCTTTTACAAACCTTGTCAAGGCACACTACATTGACCTGCCTTCTATAATATAAATGCCTAAGCAGGGTGAGGACTTGTTAAAAAAAGAAGTGAAAGAAAACCCACCTAATACAAAACTGTACTGTGTACACAGTCCTCCCTCTGGGGAAAGGATGAGAATAAAAACTAACCACAGGTAACAGACGTTAATCACAGTGAGGTACTGTTAGAAGATGCTTAGATGCTACAGTAAGGAGAGTGGGATGAGAACCTTTGTGAACTAGATAGCACTCCTACCCTTTCTCTTTCCTGATATTAGCCTCCGTGCTCCCATTCCTCTCTCCCTCTCCACCATCCCTGCCTCAATCTGACTGTGAACATGGAGATAAGTCTCCCAGGTGCATCCTCCTCATGCAACTGTTATTGCTACTGCTGGGGCAACTTCTGATTTTCAAGGGGCTGATCTTTCCTTCCATGTCAGCTCATATAGCTGGAAAAGAAGGGCACCAAGGGGCCTTGTGCCTCGGGTGGATCCCTAATAGTTCAGGTCACAGGTAGGAGGCAGTCAGTGGCCTGAGAGCAGTGCCATAGCAAGGTGGGGGCGAGCGGTGTGACCGCCCCCCCACCCCCCATGGATCTGAAGGGGGTACCAACAAATGCTGCCCAGCCAGAGTGGGGCGTGGGATGGGGGAGGGCAGCTCCCACTGCTGCATGCACTCCCAGGCAAGCATGGGGGGGACCATGGACCCCCCCAGATCTGTGCAGGGGGTGAGGGCAGGCTTCAGCCCGGGTGCAAAACTTCCTTGCCACGGCACTGCCTGAGAGAATAATTTATTGTATATTTTTGGTTCTGCTGACAACAGAGAATGTATATTTAGAGTTATGTGAAAGGGGATGTTCAAAGGCAGGGGGCACTTAGCTCTGGATGAACAATGAACAGCATGGAAGCTTCTCCTTTTCTGCTTGAAATGGCAGTGCAAGTGTCAAGGCCCCAGTGAAGGGCTTTGTTCAGTTTCACCCTTTCAGTTCTGCAATCTTACATTTTCTTCCTTTTGCATGGTTTGGAAAATGATAGAATTTCCTTCTCTTTCCAAAGTTCCATGTGGGATAGCAATTTCCTATGGAAAAAATACTCTATACAGTGATTAATATCAATCAGGTTCATTTAATCTGCGTAAGTACTTTTATTGTTTTGTGTGGTTTGGGAAGATTTTTGAAGACCCTTTCTTACCAAAGCCTAGGGAATGACTTTGCTACAGAGCCTGGGGTGAAAGGGTGCAGGAGGATGCTATTGATATTGGTTACAAGACCTTTTGGCAACGTATTTATGATGGAAGAGCGACTACAGCCTCTTTCAAACATCCAGTCTGGCTAAGGTATAGACTTGGGATAATCACTGTAAGTTGCTAATGTACTGTAAAATACAGGTCTTCAAATTAATACCTCATTTAACAATGGATTATTTAAAATACTGTACCCATTTTTAAAGTACTGTAAAACTGTGCACTTCTGTTAAGCTACGGCAATAAAGCACTTTAAATGGCTAAAAAACCAACAACTTCCCTACGCACCCTAAGTGGATATTGTTGAAGAAGGCAGCTCAAGCTCTTTGGAGTGCCATATGGTTTGCTAACTTCCTGCACTATCTGCCTCAAGGTCAAGCATTTCCCCAACTATTTCTCCCTGCTGTTGTACAGTCTGTCCTTTGTTGTTCCTCTCCAGCCCCAAAGGGAGCTGTTGCTTTACCTGTGGGCTGGAATCCAGCATAAGAGGTAGAGGCAGAGATACAGTGTGAACTTATATACCTGAGAAAACACCTGTCACAGAATCTGGTAAATGATGAGCTGATGATTTATTCCAAAAGCAAGCCTTCAGCTTGCTTTTCAATAATTTGTGGAAGTTAAAGAATTGAAGGTATCCTATTATTGACACTGATGTCTTCAGCACAGGGACCAGGTCTTGCTACATACATAACTCTTCTGTCAGGTGTTAGTTACAGTAGTGTTGGTTCACAGTAATGATATATTTTACATCAAAACTGGTAATGATCAGTATTTCAACAGAACTGCCAGTCCCATAGTCCTGGTTATTAATAACCCTGCTTATTAAGGCCCTTATCTCTTATTCACCAGCAACAGCCCCCTATCTATACCCACTTATGAATCTATATAAATCAGGGAGAAGGAAGGAGAAGTCAAAAGGATGTTGGGAACAGCCCACCTATCCATTGTAGTTCAGAACAAAAAACTGCTACCACTGGGTTCTGCTCCATGCTGCAAGGCCCCTGTCACATTGCATAAAAGAAAAGTGTTGCTTGCTTAGTTGCCATCCCATCCAATCTAGTCCTACCCAAAGAGTCTGTTCCAGGCAGAGCATTTTAATTAGAACATGTTGGAGCAGACTCAATTAATCAAGCAGCCTCAGCAGCACGTGTATTCACTGTCCCTGCACTTCAAAATGGCAGCAGGAGTGTTTTAACTAAAGCTTGTTGAATGAGCTTCAGTTACAGCACTCTTGCTGGCATTTTGAAGTGCAGGGTGCTGAATACACAAAGCACTGTGGCCACTTTAATCAGAATGGCTCATAAGAGCCAATTTAATTAAAGTGCCCTCTCCCACCCATCCCAAAGCACATGTAAAGATATCCTCCGAGTCCAGAATCCTAGAGGTGCTCAAGTCCCTTTATTGAATTTAGGCTCCTAACCCAACTGGTGGCCATTGTCTGGGAGGTCAAATGGCTGACTTTCCATAGGGTATCGGCTGCATGATTCATATACACATTCATAAAAAGTTACATTTACAAGGTATTTTTATAAAATCAGAATATACATTGCCGACAGTACAACACAATGAACTAAAAGTAAGCAAAATAATAATTATAAATCTTTCAAGTAGCTAGATTTTTTCTCCTGTTGGGTAAAACAGAGTCCCTTTCTTTCATTGTATCTGTGGTGCTGCTTACATCTGTTTGTACAATGTCATAAACAACTTCCATTATACAAGTAATTAATTTTTATTAATTAGTGTTAAAGTTCTACATCAGCTGTTAGTCAAAAAAAATCTAGTACCATTTAACTATTTGAAATGTTTAGCATTGAAGTCTGAAAAGTATAAACAGTTTTTCTAGCAAAAATGAATTGTACCCCTAATCAAATATAAATAATATATTCATCACCTCCCCTAAAATAAAAACAGGTTTAGCTGAATTTATCAATCTAAAACTGGCAATGCAGAATGATTTGTACCCTTAGGGTTATGTGATCGATCATTCCACTAAAATGGAGTGCTGCAATAGCCTCAAAAATATGTAGATCGGCACAGATGGTTTGTATACTCATGTGACTAGCAGAAAATATGTGGTTTCATTCTAATGGGAAATATTCACATGTCAAGTAATAAAACAGATATAAATAAAAATCACAAGTTTGTCCAAGATTGTAGCCTTCCTTGAGTGCATGTGAAAGGTTTCAATTACCGTCTTGCTGCACTGAAATGCAAGGGAAAGAATTTTGTAGCTTTTAAGTAATATCTTGGATTGATGATCCATATTACTAACCCATTCTTCAAGCCATCTGCTGAATTCTCTCACACTGCAGTCATCTTCCTTCTTCTAAAACTTATAAATTACGTGTGGAATTCCATCAGCTTCTCTTTAGGTTTTGTTGCAGACCAGTTCAGAAGGCTAAACAGGTGCTCTTATATTGCGGTAGAAACCAACTTAAATGGTAGTATCTTACACCAGACTTTGTACCAATTTGACCAAACCAATGTAAGTTTGTGAGCAGCACCAAGTCTTCTTGACATTTTGTGCCCAAAAGCTTGTCTGACATCTCTTCCAACTAAACTGTTGGTCAAATAAAAAATATGAAAATAGCCCTTGCATATCAGATCTCTTTGACTCTTGATAGTGTAGCATAGAAATCATCCTGAAGTTCTATCAATAATACTGAAAGAAGGCAGGGTAGATTTGCATCTGATACACTAAGTAAATCAGAGATATATAACATAAGCTTTTGTGAGCTGGAGCTCACTTCACACTTCATCAGAAGAACGAATCTGCCTGACTCAAGAGTAACATGCCTAACATCTTCTCTCTGCTCAATAATACTGAAAAGCTTCCTCTGGACTAAACACAGACAATGGTTTTATGACCTCTGCTAACTCTTCTGTGCTCCATAGGTAATAAGGACTCTTCTCTCTTTGAATAGCCTTACTCTTTTACATAATGAGGTTATCTATTTTGACTGCCCTTTTGAAATTAGCTATTTTGACTGTCCTGTTTTGTACCTACTTCTGATAACTTCTGTTTGTGCCACAGTTTTACTGCACCCTTCTGCTTCCTGATGATGTTCATTTACATAATGGGGTTAAACCAGTGGTCACCAACTCGTCAATCCTGATTGACTGGTCAATTGGGAAGCCCCTGACAGTTGATCTTAGTTTGGGGCGGGGGGGGGGGATGACACATGGAGAGCGGCTGGGACCCAGTCTGGGGGGGGGGGGGCAAAGGGGGGGCCGGGGGGGGGGGGGGGGGATGACACATGGAGAGCGGCTGGGACCCAGTCTGGGGGGGGGGGGGCAAAGGGGGGGCCGGGGGGGGGGGGGGGGGATGACACATGGAGAGCGGCTGGGACCCAGTCTGGGGGGGGGGGGGCAAAGGGGGGGCCGGGGGGGGGGGGGGGGGATGACACATGGAGAGCGGCTGGGACCCAGTCTGGGGGGGGGGGGGCAAAGGGGGGGCCGGGGGGGGGGGGGGGGGATGACACATGGAGAGCGGCTGGGACACAGTCTGGGAGCGGCGGGACATAGGAGTGGCAGGTGGCTGGGCTGAGCTGCACCCCCTGCTGCTGGGGCTGGGCCAGGTGAGTGGGACAATCCCCCTCCGTGCCCCTTGCCACTGGGTGAGTGGGGCCCCAGCCGGGACAGGGAAGGCCAGAGCACAGGCAGCTCATCCAGGCACACGGCCGGGGGGGGGCCTCCAGCCATTGCACGGACCCTGGCGGAGGCCCGAGGGACACATGCCCCCCCAATCTGTGTGTGGAAAGAGGTGGCTGCCACTGCATGCTAGGCTTTGAGCCCTGAGCCCCACTGCAGCTCAGGGCACAAAGCCCAACGTGCAAAGCCCAGCACGCAGTGGCAGCCACCTTGCCCCACACACAGATTGTGGGTGCATGTGCCCCCCAGGCCTCTGCTGGGGTGCATGCAGCAGCAAGCCCCTCCGTGCACCTCAGCCCAGCTGGGGCCGCACTCACCCTTTCCCCTGCCCCTGCCCCTGCCCCTGCCTCACTCCCTCCCTCACCACAGGAGGCTCGATTTGCCTCTCCCCCCCCAGACTGACCTGGTAGATAGTGGGGCGGGGGGAGGGGGGTGCAGTAGATCCTGGATTGCCCTTTATTTCAAAAAGTGATCCTCACCTTAAAAAGGTTGGAGACCACTGAGTTAAACAAGATTCATTGTCTTGTCCGGTATTTAGCTTAGACTTAGGAGTTCTTTCCCAGATCTGAGGAAGGGCATTGTGTGTCCAAAAGCTTGTCTAACACCTCTCCCAACTATGCAGTTGGTCCAATAAAAAAACATTACCCCCCAAAAAAAGTGTTTCTTGTATACTCCTTGGCCCATCACAGCTACAACACCATTTCCTCTTGGAGGGCACTTTTCCTCGGTGGGCACATCAGTATGTGTACTTTAATGCACAGAAGACTATTTTAATGTGCATTAAAGTGTCACATAAAAAAAACCATGCCATAACACTAATGTGTAGTAAAGCAGTCTACTGAGCATTACACATCACTAAAAAATATTGCAAATGTGATACTGTGCATTAGCGCAGCCTAATGTGTATGAATTTAGTGACATTGGAGGTACTAAATTTAATGTGCATTAGAAAAGGTGCATTAATGCATATGTGGACATGGCCAGTAGCTCTGAAAGTGGTCTACAGTGCAGGTCAATGTCATTATCCTCATTCTGCAGATGGGGGAAGGTGAAATGATTTGCCCATATTTATCCAACACATGAGAGGTACAGGCTGGAAAAGAATCCAGCTTTTGTGTATTACAGGCTTGTGCTTTACCCCACAGACTAGAAGATGATAGATCCATGCTACTATGTTAGAGCCCTGGTGGCCTTTGATGTTGTTGTTTGCATTTGTTGACATGCCAGTGAATCCTAATGCATGAATTCTCAGCCTGCCCTTCAGTAAATTTAGGATTCAATAGATTTCTGCTTTCACTTTTACTACTGTTCCAACTATATGGATGTAGGTAAATCATTGCATTCCCCTGGGTGCAT